CGATACCCTAGAGACAAAGGAGCGGTCGTATCGGCCAGTTATGGATGTACGAAGTTCGACACGGTTAGGACGGGATGTGAAGTCAGGCGGGTCTGTCTGGCAGGCACATCGCGTGGTGGCGTCACGGAGGAGGGGGGTCCTAAGAGTGTCCGGTAGAGTCATTAGTCGGACAGCCCTCGTTTGAACAGTATGCGGCATGGATAATGTAGTCGGGGCCGGCAGCACCCCAAACACGTGAGCAGTTAGTACTCGAAGGTGTTATCTGGGCCTTGTACAGAGTGAAGAGGTCATGTGGAGAAAAGTACTTCTTAGCCCTAAACTATTAGACTAGCGGTTTCCCAGCAGCTACCTCTATTGACGATATGTGTTCGTGCCAGATCAAGTACTTGGTGACTCCAATCAGCCGAAATAAATGGCTATAGAACTCGGCCTTCCATCGAAACAAGATGAGGGCTTGTTCGTTCATTTTACAGTACTATGTTTTGGAAGCATCAAGCAGATTTCTAAAATGAACAAATTCATTCAGTCACCTCATAGTTTACATTTTTTAAATAAAATGATAGCATTGTTTTAGTTACAGCTGGAAAGTATCGTGTAATGATGTAATTAAATTTTAACAGAATATATGATTACGAGCTCTAGAAAAGAAAAGTTAAAACGCGATCATAATACTTCCTTCAGCAGTAGAGTGATAGGTACTGGAGGTGACTCGTACAATCCCGTTACAAAACCACCGGAAAGTTTCGAATTTCGTACGTTTATCTCTAAGCTGCTGAAATTCGATCCATAATAACTTCTATAAAGCGTTCCTTATAATAGACAGCAGACACTTTCTCATATGATTCGTATTTCGTAGTTTACCCTATCTCTAAATTATCAATGTTCTAGTTTCTGAAGTGCCGTTTTCTTAGATATCTCAACATTGACCCATTTAACCGACTTCGTATCACTTACCATTTATGAGATCCCAACGGTTAGAGTCGAATTAGAAACACCTGGTATAAATAAGATGGTAGTGGCACAGCTTATGCAACAATCAGCTATGAAACTCTCCTGTCAGTGTCAAAAACGACCGCCATGTCAGCGGAGAAAATCGCATGTAAATTCCCCTAGTACAACTATGAAAGAGGTTTTATTGTGAAGCAGCAGCCGGTGTTGCCGCGTACCCTGCCAGCAGCAGCAGATATTCTTTGTAATCGTAAAATTTTGTTATGATCTGGTATAGTTTGTGTGAATCGATAATAAAAAGGAGCATGTTGGGCCAAAAAGGAGGCGACAAAGTTTTGATGGCTATTTATGGAAAAGCTTCGAAATAAATTTGTAATGGTGGAAGAATTTGCAATAAACGAAAAAATGTTTACTTTTGCCATGTATTCTTCGGTGCTGCGATATTCCATTGGATCTTAAATGTAAACACCGTTAAAAACACCAGGCAAACTGCGTGCACTGAATCACAAGAATTTTCTGTATTTATTGCGAAAAAAAAAGAGAACAAAGCGACAACCAAACCTGACGCTTTTGATAACTCCTCAGCTAGGGGTAAGCGGTCGGTTGCTCCGATATTCTATACCTAAAAAAAGTTAGCTATAAAAATTATAGGCAACAGTAATATGCATACCTTACTTGGAAAATATGCCATTCTGCACAGCGTGATTCATAATTACATGACAACACAAGCATAAATTTTTTAAATGGAATATCCATACCGTTTTCTTATTCTTCGCTCATTCAAAATAAAAACTATACACATACCAAAAATCAGAGTGGTCAACCTTAGAGAGAATTTATGGTAGACCTCTTGTGTTTAGAATGAACGAAGAATAAAAATAAATTCGTGCAAAAGGTTTTACTGATGGATAATGTTTCTTAAAACTTTCATTTAACAGTGTTTATATTGAAGATGCAATGGATTTAGAATATCGCATCAGCAAATAATACATGGCAAAAGTAAATATTTTTCTTTTATTCTGAATACTTCCACAATTACAAATTTATTTTGAAGCTTTTGTTTAAATAAATAGTCATCAATACTCCGTCGCCTCTTTTTGGTCAAAAATACTCCTTTTTATTATTGATTCACATAAACTACACTAAAACATACCAAAGTATCATTTTAAGATTGCAAAGAATATTTGCGGCCGCTGGTATGGTACGTGGCAACACCGGCTGCTGCTGAACATCAAAACCTCTTTCATCGTTCTACTAGGGGAATTTACATACGATTTTCTCCGTTCTCCGCCGAAATGGCGGTCGTTTTTGACGCTGACAAGGGAGTTTCATAGCTGATTCTTATCTAAGCTGTGGTAGTGGGTTGCGAGTGGTTTTGACTGCGAAAAAGAAGTGAACCGAAACTGAAAATTCATATTGAATTATTTATGAAATCATTTGCACTTGGAGGGCCTTAGTCTAAGGGGGTGGAGTCATTCATAACTCAGTAGCATAATATATTATAAAAAAGACAATACATGTGCGTATGGTGAATGTGCTTTATGATTGATAGCAGAATTGCCTGGCAAGTCCAGAGTCTATCTACTTGAGCCATCTTCTCTTTGGGCAACGAACAGAACCATATGTGCTTTTGTTACGAAACTTTTAAGGACGTTTCGATGGAGATCTTTACCTGAGAGGCCGAGCCGGAGAAGTTTCAATCCTTCCTCCAGATTCAGATCGTTTGTTTTATGGCTTAGTTTAGCTGCTCCTTTAGGTGGTTGGATCGTCGGGACTTGGTGCGTTATTTTTTAAATCCTGGACATGTTTCTTTAGGGGCTGGAGAACACATTTCTTGAAATCTCAAAGACCTTTCGGACTTAGGACCACCTCTTGACAAAACGAATCGCTTGTAGCTTACTTTTTAGCGTCAATCGAGGACTATTCCTCGACCAAATACCAACAAATTTGAATAGGTTATAAGTTTACATTTCATAGTTTGTCCCCAAAATTGTGTAGTGTTAGTGCATACTTTTAGCTAATTTGCCCACCATTGCCTACCAAACTGACAAGCCAATACATTGTCACCGAAAAAAGAACTTTATGTTTTATTATGAATATACAGGGTGTAAACGTTATGGTAGTCATTATTGAGATGGGTAATAGGGGGGTCAAAACAAGTCAAAAAGTTCATATGACCCATGGTCCAAAAGTTAATAGATTTTTGTCTAAATGGCTTTATAGTTTACAACTTTAAGTGCTTTATATCGACATCGACCATAATAAACACAATCATACTAATTTTTATAATCTAATCTAAAACGTTTTTAAATTGGGTAATAACAAATAAATAGCATTAGATTTTTCTAAGTTAAGCCAAAATTTGTAGTCCGTAACTAAGTAAGTTTCATTAAATTAAATATTTAAAACACACATGACAACAGCGCGTCGGTCATTCATCGTTCTTATCAAACCGGCAATCGATCGCAAACGGTAACAGTGGTTCGCGTACGTCGTCGTGTTTATTTACAATGTTCTCGAATCAAGAGTTCGCCGACATGTTGTTAGTTTACGGTGAAGCTCGTCAGAATTCAAATCTTGCAGCTCAAATTTATTGCGACAGATTTCGCCAACGGGTACACCCAGACAGAAGGACATTTGTGCAAGTGTACCAAAGACTTCGAGATACAGGAAGTGTTCAGCTCACTAATATTCGCACTCGTGAAATATACCTACGTTACTGTAGAGCAGGAGGAACAAATTTTAAATATCGTGGAAATCAGTGCAGATATCAGCACTCGGGAATTAGGCCGCCGCGTAGGACTATCGCATACCATAGCCCATAGAATCCTACTGGAAAATTTGCTTTATCCCTACCATGTACAACGAGTACAGGCCTTGTTATCAGTAGACTATCCTCGCAGACTAACATTCTGTCAGTGGTTTTTGCACAAAAACATTGAAAATCCGGATTTTTTTAAAAACATTCTAGCGACGGACGAATGTACTTTTACGCGAGACGGGATATTAAATGTCCATAATACTTACACGTGGGCCCAAGAAAATCCTCATACCATTCGTGAAGGTCATTTCCAACAACGTTTTAAAATAAATATTTGGGCGGGTATTCTTGACGATCAGGTAATTGGCCCTTTCGAGTTATCCCCAAAGTTGACAGGAGAAGGATACCTTAGCTTTTTCTAGCCAATAACCTACCAGAACTTTTGGAACAGACCTTAGACACGTACCATTACAACGGAGACAGAATTTGTGGTTTCTTCATGACGGGGCACCACCACACATTTTGAGAGGCGTCATTCAGTATTTGAATGAACATTATCCAAATCGCTGGATCGCTCGAAATGCTCCTGATCCTCGAAAATGGCCAGTAAGATCTCCTGACCTCAATCCGATGGATTTCTGGTATTGGGGAGAACTTAAAGGGATGGTTTATGGGGCTGGTCCAATAACAACTGACGCACAACTTCGCGAAAAGATTTTTAATGCGGCTGAAATAATAAATGGACAACTTCGAGGACCTAGAGTAAGAAGAAACTGGGTTCGTCGTAATGAAGCTTGTGTGGAAAGTGGAGGACGACATTTTGAACACCTTTAAATACAAAAAAGTGCAATGTAGGTTTTAAAAAGAAAAACAATGTATGTATCAAAATTGTGTTCCCTATTTATAAGTGGATTTTTTTAATACGTTCAATAAACTTTTACACACCAGGTGAAGAGCTGAGACAGTTAGTGGTAAGTCCGTTTTTTTAATTGTTTGCATTTTACGAGTACATTATCAAATAATGAAATAATACCTAAGAGCCAAAAATAACAAACTCCATCTTTATTTACACTGCGTTCCGTCGTAATTTGCGTCTGGCATTGCGGCGTTGTCAGATTTTATTTTACTTTAAAGTCGCCTTTCTCTAAAAAAATACCGTTTTGACCCCCATGTTATATGAAACTTTTTGCTTCCTTTAACCCCCTCTATCACCATTTTACTTTTCGTTTGTTACTACTGTGTATGTACCAGATAAAGAAAAAATATATGTTTCGATTCTTCACAGAAGCGATGCACAAATGTCAAAAGTTTGAGAAACACTAGTATATCAGTGTCCTGGGACGAAGAGAGGTGCAAGTGTACGGACAGCCTCATCGTTTCCGCGGATCAAATGCTGATTTAACGCGTGACTTTTTTCCATGTCGAAGCAACAGTTCCATAGTTCCATCGCCTTTTTGACTATTATTCGATATCTGACGCTCTTCTGGTATCTAGTTTCAGTTCAGTGCGTGATCGCGGAATACATATCGGATAATGATAATGTCGAAATGGAATAGAGCTTTGGTGCGATCGAGTGTGTTAGAGGCGCATTACGATGAGTCCAGTGTCAGAGTAGAGCCGGAGAATGAGGATAGCAGGATTGAGCTGGATCATGTTGTTCTCTTCCACGATGATCTTTATTCGGTGAATATCTGTGTGGTGAAGGTTATGGTGCAAGCCGTTTTGCATTTATGATTCAGTCGAAACGTAATGTATTCTCCTTTCACTGTAAAATAAGACGTCTTTCAGAATGACTGTCTTGTTTTAATACGTTAACGTCGATGTGCATCATATAGGTGCACACTCTGTTTTCTGCACAGACCGTGTGTCCTTACATCGGCACAGTCAACGGTAATGTTTCAAGTCATATACTATAGGTCTAATAGGGACACAGATATAATCTATTTAAATGTGGCGTTTAGTAGGCTGGGTCCTTCGGAAATACTTCTATCCAGAAGCAAATTTAAAAAATTTAGCGCTGGTCGTTAATGTGTTTTAGGTGATGCTGCTTTTTTCTATTTATACTGCATTCGATTCCCAAAAGATCGATAGAAAATCTAAAACTCAATTACATGCCAGTTTTCTGGTCCCGGATTACAAAGTAATTACTATATTTTCAAAATAGTAATGTTTATTAGTTATTTAACTACAAAGAAATGATATAAAAGCCTAAAATAAAATAAACAAAAAATTCACTGTGCGTGAATGTAGACTTATACTAAATACTTCATACCAAACAAATATACTGGATCGAGTACACACAATTGATGAACTGCATAAAAGGGAGTGCATTTCTCAAAAACAGCTGATTTTATCGGCACAAGTGTACATTTTTCAGCTATCCAAAAATGTCATCATTAAGCTTTTTTATACAGGGTTAAAAAATAGCAATATTGCTCTGGGGCTTGGCTATCCCTGGGAATCTATAGGGTTTTTCACGGTTTTTGTTGGGTCATGGTAAAACTACAGGAGTTACTATCATACATCCATCTCTCTTACACGCATACATGCAATCGGTCTCTATGCGAAGGAGGTTGTTTGTGTAAGCTCGGAGATATCGTTAGTTAATTCTCACCGCCTTGAAAATTTTCTCGTAGACAGATGAGTTTTCCACATTTATGCTTGTCACTTACAGTATGACAATTTGCCTGCCGTGGGCGTGGCATTTTTGTTGATATTCAATAGCAAAGGTAGATCTCGGTACCTAAAGCTAAGTTTCCATATGCAATGATTATTGGCGCCAGTAGCTTGCCAGTTTCCTGACTCCACCACTACTGGCGCCAGCATCGGTTTCCATATAGTTCGATTATTTCAAACTGGCCTGGTATTCAAAATGACATCAAATTCAATAGTGCGTGTAAGTTTTAATGTTACAGTGCAAATTGTAGCACCAGAAATACAAGTAATTTTAAAAAAATGCAAAGAAATAAACGGAAACATAGGTGGATATCACGTAGAGGTTCGTTGGGAGCATCTAATAGTTTAATAAAAGAGTTAGCTTTTGAAGATTAGGAAGCTTATTTGAATTATTTGAGACAAATTTGAGTCTTTATTGAAACATGTATCCAATAAAACTCAAAAGGAAAACACCCGAATGATAGATGCTATACCAGCTCGTGTAAAACTGCAAGTGATATTAAGATTCTTCAGCTCAGGAAATTCATTTGCATCTTTGCAATATACAGGGTGGCCCATCGATGTGTGGCCGGAATATTACTCATAAACAAATACATTTTGGGAAAATCTATTTATGGGATGTTATGCATGACATTTGAGGGCACATTTCTAAAATATTGGCCATTATACAGGGTGTCCCAATTTCGACCTACATATCAAAGTTGTGATTTTTCAAACGGAATGCCTCAAATTTTATTGCATATGAGCCGTTTTACACACAAGAGAATTACTCCGAAAATTATGGACATAATTATGCCAAAAATTTGCATGGAAAAAATATGAAGATTTTCTCTACAACCTGTATGACACAAGTCAGCAGGCATGTTAGAAGTTGGCAAATATTTTACTTCAACTATATTATTATTAATTACATCACGGATGAAATGATATCGCACATCAATGTGTTTCGAGCGTTTATGTGACTGATGATTATTTGCCAGCTTTAAGGCACTCTGATCATCATTATACAGTACAATTTTATTATGATAACCAGACAATTCATGCTCTAAGTTTTGTAAATAAATTGCTTCACGAGAAGCTTCTGACATAGCCATAAATTCGGCCTCACAACTACTTAATGCAACTGTCCGTTGCTTTCCCAAGAAATAGCAGATCCAGATTTCATAAAACAAAAACCTGTGTATGAATGTCTGTCATTGGCATCACTGGCCCAATCTGCATCTACGAAACCTTCTAAATCTGCTCTTCCTTTAGAATATCTCAAACAATAATGTTTAGTTTTCAACAAATATTTCAAAATTCGTTTAGCATAATTCCAGTGAGTTTTTGAATAACAATTATTGAATTGACTGAGATAACTGACTGAGTAAGCAATATCTGGTCGAGTTAAGACTGCTAAGTACATCAAACTATCAATTAACTTTTGATATGGCAACTTATCTTCACAAATATCTGACCTCTCTATATTTAATTTACATTCTATAGGAGTATTAGCCATATTACTCTCAATCATGTCAAATTTCTCAAGCAATTGTTCAATATAACTCTCTTGATCTACAGTTATTACATTTGAACTTTTATCTATGCAAATTCTCATACCTAGATATCGTTTGACTTGACCTAGATTTTTTATTTTAAATCTCTGACTTAAAGCTTCTATTAAACTATCAGTTTCAAGCTTATTATTCGAAAATATTATAAAGTCATCAACATAAACTCCAACAATAGTTTTCTTATTGTTAGTATGATTTTTTATAAACACACAAGGCTCTAGATTGCTCTTACTGAACCCTAAATTACACAAAGTTTCATCTACTCTTTGATACCAAGCAAGAGATGATTGCTTTAATCCATAGATAGCCTTTTTTTATTTTAGCACTTTGTTTGAATTTTTGATAGGAAAACCTTCTGGCAAATGCATAAAAATATTTTCTTTTAAATAACCATTAAGAAATGCTGTTGTGACATCTAAATGAGTTATTTCCATTCCTAGTTGCACACTCAAAGCAAATAGCAAGCGCAAGGTTGAATGCCTAATCACTGGAGAAAAAATTTCCTGATAATCTACACCTTGTTGCTGTGTAAAACCTTTGGCTACGAGTCGTGCACGATACCTCACTTTATTGTCACAATCTAATTTCTTTTTCATTACCCATTTGCACTGCACTACACTAGCATTGTCTGGAGTGTCAACAACCTCCCATACCTCATTATCCTCGAACGACTGCAGCTCCTCTGCCATTGCTTGTAGTCATTGTTCTTTTTCATGACCACTGATAGCCTCTGCATATGTCATTTCATCCTCTGCTATGGAAGTAGTACACATATTGACAATACCATATCTAGAAGGCCTCTTCCTTCGTCTCTTTTCTCTATCTACAATCTGTGGTGACTCTGGTATATCTGATACTGACGGAGCTTCTTCTTCTTCACCAACTATGTTAGCTTCTTTCTTCTCTGTCTCTGATACTTCCTGCTGCCAGTTTTCATCTTCGCCATCCTGGCCATCCAGGTATTCTGAGTCACTAGAGCTTGACTGTTCAGACTGCTCAAATTCAACCTCAGATTCCTTCTTCAAATCCCCCACTGAATCTGTGGTCCCTGTAGGAATGGTGACTATCTCATTCTTCTTTGGCTTCTCTGTGATCACAACGTCTCTACTGGTTGTTACAATATTCTTCACTGGATCATAAATTCTATAACCCTTGACATTATCACAGAAACCAACTAGTATATGTTTCCTAGACTTCTTGTCCCATTTGGTCCTTTTTTCTTTTGGAATATGTGCCATTACGGTACTTCCAAATATACGTATGTGGGCTAAGTTTGGTTTCTTACCGGTCCATGCTTCATATGGAGTCTTTTCTGTACCTGAAGCTACTGATCGGTTCTTCAAATAGACAGCTGTATTGGCAGCCTCTGCCCAGAACTTCTTCTCAAGATCAGCTTCGAAAAGTAAGCATCTCGCTCTCTCCACTATAGTACGATTGAACCTCTCACTGAGTCCGTTCTGTTCTGGTGTGTATGGATTTGTCTTTTGGTGTATGATACCCTCTTCCTTAAGAAAATTTTCAAAATCATTGCTGCAGTACTCACAACCATTGTCTGACCGCAAGACTTTGATTTTCTTGTCTTGAAAGTTTTCTGCCATTGACTTGAATTGTGTAAAATAGCTTAACACCTCACTCCTTGCTTTCATAAAATAGATGAAGGTCATTCTGCTATAATCGTCAATAAATAGCACAAAGTATCGTGCACCACCAATCGATTTGTTCTCCATAGGACCACATATGTCTGTATGCACAACATCTAGAACTCCCTGTGCACGTGAGCCTGTTGAAAATGGTAGCCTTGCCATTTTTCCTTCACAACATACGTTACAGTTAACTTTACTTGTGGAAAACTTATCTGGATAGTCCAATCCTTCCACTAAGCCACGTTTCATTTTGTTCATGTCGTTGCTGTTTATATGACCAAGTCGCCTGTGCCATATATCGCCATTCACTGTTGATGTCAACAAACAGTTCTGTGTTTTCTGGTTAACTTTATAAACTCCATCAACCAGGTCTGCGTCAGCCACTATATCACCCAATTTGTTTCTTATTAGGCACTTGTTAGGCTCGAACACAACACTATTACCATTTTTTATGAGTTCACTGACTGATAACAAGTTTGTTGTGAGACTGGGTACACACAACACATCCCTCACTGTTATGTCATAATTGTAGTTTGTTGATATTTCTACATCACCTGAGCACAAAACTGGTACTTTTGTTTTGTCCGCAATGACTACTTCTGGGAGATCCGACGAATATGTAGCGTTTTTCAGCCAATTTTCGTTCGCAGTCATGTGCATGCTCGCACCGAAGTCTATGTAGAAATCATTTTTACTGAACTCGCCACTGAGAAAAACAACACTAAAGGCGTTAGTTTGCTTATTTTTCTCATTCTTTTGTGGACAATTACTCATATAATGGCCTGTTTGTTTGCAACGATAGCAGGTTATGTTTTTCATGCTCTTAGAGTTTGACGGATTGTTGACAGCCATGTCTACCATTCTGGTTCTGACTTTTCTTCTTCTTCCAAGTCCGGCAGGCTTATTACCTAACTTCCAACCGACCGTCAACCGACTCGAGTTGGTCGATAGTTGCTGTCAAACGCAAATTTCGTATTATGTATCAGTCAGTGCGTGTCAATCGCCGACCGGCTACGGTGGCGCCTCTATGGAGCAACTGGTGAACGAAAAGTGCATTCTTTTGTTAGGACTATCAAAAAATCGGTATTCCCTAGCTCATTGACAGCGACCGAACAGCAACTTACTTGCGATTTGAACTGTCAAATTAACAACTGCTCTGTGGTAGTCGACTAGTCGGTTGGTAGTGTTTTGTTTGGATAACATTGTCAAAACTATTCATTTTTTTAACAAGAAAGGTAAGTATAACAAGTTCAAATAAGGAATAAAATAGCTTAACGAGTGTAAGAAGTGATTGTATGCTCCCAATTTGTATTTTCAGCAATTTTGATTCTCTGGATGGCTCGTGTATTTTTACTTATTGAAAAGCGAAAGAATGCACGATCAAAGACGGCAAACTTCTCGCCTACGACGTATTTTTCAGTATCTATGACTTGAAGTTCATAATGATTATCAAATAAGCTTACTTGCACCTTTCTACCACAGTATAGAAACATATTGGTTTTAGGTATTAGCAGCACTTCTGGTGCTAGCCGCTGGTTCCTGCCAGAAACATATTGGCATGGCTTATTTACATGGGCTCAGTCAACCTAGTGTATCCAAAGCACTAAGGGAAATGGTGGATGCATTAAATCATCCAGACATTCTAAGCATATTTACTTCCCTCAAACACTGTTAGAGATTATAGTAATTATATTAACATGCATATTAAGCAAGTGAGATTGCATATCAAAATTAAATGGTGGATCATTAACTGAGAAACCAATGAGTTCAGATACATCAAACAGTTCCAAGACATGGAAGTTTACATTACCTGATGAAAATTCCATCGCTGTGGAAGTTGAGATTTCCTATTAACAAGAGTAATAAGTCAATATTCATCGATCCTAAGATCAATACCTCAGACTGATTAGCTGAAGATTAACAATACAGCAACAAATCCGAGTCTTAATATTTCACATATTTTAGGCAACATACCGATTTCAGCACTAATATTTACTTTGATTTTTTTTTACTTTAGTTGTAATTATTGTTATATATGCCTGCTTGAAGATGAGTAATAATGAAAGATATATTTTTACAGGTGACTCTGGACATCCATTAAGAATCGGTCTTTCCAGAAATATCATAGAGTGATGCACAGGAGTATTAAAGTTTGTATTATCTACTGTATCAAACATTTTAAATTTCCATGAAATAATGTTCATTGTCATATGCTTATGCGTAATGATAGCTCTGCTTCAAAAAGGTTTTATTAACCACTGTAAAGAAATGTTAATGGTTATAGAATTAGTTTTCTAGGAAGGTTTATTTTCACATGTCCATATTCAATAATATCTATTTTAGAGGATTTGGAACAAACCTAAAAGTATGCTTTGAGTGAAGATCAAGAAAAGTTGCAAAATGCATTTGTAACAAAAAGCACTGCCTTTTTAAAATACAGTTATAAAACTGCTGACCTTATTTTTGTAATAGAACCCACAACTTTTTTATCAATTTAAGCATTAATGGTACTAAATACAATCGTAAAAATTTCAAAAAAAACTCTGTGTTCCACAATCACTCAAACAGCCTAGAACTTCGCCGCTTGTGAAGATTAGTACTAATCGCTAAATGTATTTCTAATGGGGACCAATTCTCTTTAGAAAATGTATCAAATGCATTTCTACAAATACAATTTTTTTAATGACACTCCTATTTTATTTTCGTCAATTTGCAAAGCAATTATTTTAAATACAATAAAAAAATCTTATTGTCTTAAAAATATGTTGAGAGACAAACTTTTTACTGTATTAAAGAGTTATAAATGATTTATGGATTGGAGGTGCCATTACAAAAAATAAGTCAGTGATTTTTATGAAATGATTTAAGAGTAGTTTTAATACAAAAAAATAGGGCACTGTTACACAACAGCGATAGGAATAATATAGTAAATTGATTTGTGTAAATATCTTTTATTAAAATGACAAAGATTAGGTCACACAAGAAAACAATAATCATAAAAATACTTTATCCTTTCTAAATTTCAATCAGGTTTGAAGTTTTTAGATGCTTGACCAAATTTCTTGTGAAATTTTTGAAGTTGCATTAATGCTGTCTCTACCTGCATACAACTTTCGTGCACCCTGCCTAGCTATTTGGAATTCTATATCTGGTGGTGGCTCAACAGCTGAAGATGAAGGAGTTGGTTCTGAAAATCAAAAAGCTTTTAATTAATATCTGAAGTTATGAAGCAATACCAAGTAGAAACTGAATTCATATGCAATTTTTCATTCTAAAACAAGATCATCACTAGTGAAAAATTAAAATAATTTGTATTTTTTCCATTTGAAGCAGAACTTTGTACTTGTGATCAAGCGTTAGGAGACGATGTGGACTGCCAGGAAGTAAAATCAAATTAAATGTGGTTTAACGAAGTGGGCAATAGAGATAGAGAAAATAAACTGATTTTTCATTAATTAAAATTAATCCCATTTAAATTTATCCAGGAGTTATGTACTTACACTAAATGGAACTTTAAGTTCAGTATCTCCAAATACTGCTGCTGTTCCCAATATGGCCATATCTAATTCAGATAAGTTATCAACATTAGCACCCTCCACCAGTACCTGTAGCATCCTGCCTATATTGTGCAGCTCTAGATTGTATCCTATGTTTAAGGTCTATCCAATACTGTAAAAAAGTATTATTGTATTAGTACATGAATAAAACCATATCGAACAAAATGCCTTATTATAACCTACAGTACTAATCCAAGAAAATGACCCATGGAATCTGAGTAAACTATGTTGGCAAATATTAAAAGATGGTAGTAACTATACAAACACATTGAATCAAACAAACTATTTTCTACGAGTAGAGGACAAAAGAGTTTCATATAAAGTCTCGTCTAATAAGAATTGAATTACTGAAAAAATGGATAAACGTCATCGTTTCTCAAGTTACTTAAATAAAAAAAAGTGTTGGATAAAATATTGTGAAAAGGTAGTCTTTGGGAACAATTGTGCTATTACACTGTTAAATATAATTTTCTATTAATCAACATTGCATTTTTTCTACTATGATAAGTTCTACAACTTTTTTGAATTTATCTAATGAAAAGAGGGATACAACAGAATAATGACCATAGCAAAAGGTTGTAATCTTATAATGAAAAATAAGATTCAGCACAATTATAAAAATTATGAATTAGCGATGAAAAAAGGATGAATAACGAAATGTAACATAAACTCACCCTTCTCCAGCATTGTCCATTTTTTGTAGCTCCAGATCCATGAGTATTCAGACATATCGCTAATTCGTCCCACTTTCTATTAATTGTCTCCTTTGATCTCCCTCCAAGCCCAACACTGTCCTTAGCTAAATTAGGATTAATTTCTGCAGTGTTGAGATTATGTTTCATTTTGAAAATTAACACAAACACCTCCTAGTCAGACAAAATCTCAAACACAAACAAACACTATGTTCACGTTTTCTGATGCATTTGCAGCCTTTACTGAACAAGCAGTCTAGATGACTGCTAGATGAACTATATAGGTAAGTGCCAGCAAGTGCTGATTGATTTAGATTTAGAGAAACATCTGGCACTTGTCAATAAGCTGTTTTCACCCTCGCGTTATCTTGCAGCGCTCTTTCTGTCTTGAGATAAGTCTTCAAGGCTAATCTATGTGAAACTGTGTCATCTATTTGTCGACAAATGACTGTGTGTATATATCAAGGGTCCACTCTTGACTTATGTAAACATCCATACATCTGCGGCTCACACAGACATTCATTTGTAAGAACAGACCATCGTATTATATACTTACGCGTTGAATTTTCAACGAAACTAGGTCCCATAGTTAATTTTAAATTCACAATCACGACCCACAATGTATTTATTTATTTTTCGATTTATAAACACAACGATTGTTTATCATCATATGTATGTCACTTTAGTTCCACCAGTTGCTACTCGATTGCCAGTGGCGCTGTTTCGGTCGCAAAAACTGCATTCAAATTGCATTCAATGACAGTTGGGCAACCGGTTGCCAACTGCGTTAGCGAATACGAATTTTTCAGTCGGTCGACAATCGGTCGCAAGTCGGTTGGTGGTCGGTTGCTCACCGATCAGAGTTGGAAATTTTTACGTAATAAGCCTGCGGATCTCCAGTGCTGAGTTCGTCGTTTCGGTCGAGTCGATAGTTTCCATATCGAGTAGCTTCGACTTGATGGAATCAGCGGTGATCATGATTCCGGAATGTTCGATGGCCATGATCATCGGCATGAATCGTTCCGGCAAGCCGGCTAGCAACAAAGATCCAACCCATTCATCGTTGATCTCAAAACCTGTTCCACATAAACGTTGAGATATTTCTACTATTTGTGTCACATAATTCGTCATGTTTTCACAATTTTCTAACCTTAGAGAAATCAGATGACGAAGCAAAGTAATCCTCCTCGAAAAACCTGAATCGTCGAACAAAGAATGCAATTTTGTCCACAATTCTTTCGTTGTCTTTGTCTCCTTTATGTGCACAAATAACGATGAATCGACAGTCAAAGCCAACTTAGCACGTGTTCTTGCGTCCAATAACCTAGCTTCAGCATCAGTTCCTTCTTGCCTTATAAACTGTTCTGCGCCTTCCAAAACTAGCAAGTTCTCGATCGCGAATGCCCAATCTTCGAAGATTTCGCATCCTTTCAGCTTCGGAATGTTTGCAAGGTAGCTGGAACTCATTTTTGTTTGCACACGCGGAATTTAACTATTAAAACGACAAGAATTTCACTTTTTTGGTTACACTCGGATGTGGCCCATCACCTGTAGTAAAACGCACGAGTTGGCAGTTAACCAAAGACTGATTTATTTGAGAAAGACACAGCATGAGTACAGACTGTCACATTTGTGACGCTAGATGGCGCAATCATTTACATTTTTGATATCAATCACAACACAATGGTATACTTTATCTGAAGTCACTTGAAATAGCATAAAAACCTTTGGTCGGCGCGTCCTTTGTAATTTCATGACGTATCATTGGCGTGCGGTCATTTATTTAGAACGATAATAATAATGTTTTTATATCACAATAAATGGATTTTACTATCTTCTTATTTTTTTGATTTGGGATAAAAAATACTTATATTGGGAGTTTAATTTATGTTGATTGAAAGTTAAGAAATGGAAAAATTACAGAATTCCAACGTTTGACATGAGGCAAATATTTACATAGCAGGTAGGTATATAAAAAGGTATATAAAGACTTACATTATAGGTATTTATATATCATCCTCGCCTTCGGAGCTGTCGCTAGAGTCATCTTGTAGAGGAATTACAACGGGATTTACAGGAGGCAAAACACAATATTCATTTTCTTTTTCAATAATATGTCTAGAACACTGCTTCCATAGGGCTGTGGCAGCAATATGAGATACTGCATCTCTTATTGTGGCCAATAGCGATTCACTTAATTGAGGGGTCTGATTATGTTTTCTTACTTTTTTTTTAAAGCAGCCCAGACCAACTCAATCGGGTTAAAAATGCAGTAATAGGGATGTAGACGTAATACTTCATGGCCATTTTGCTGAAGCAGATTGTCAACAACATACTCTTTTTCAAATTTTTGTCTTTTAATAAGATCCAATAATATGGCTTTGGTTGATTTTTGTGGTATTTCCATTCCCTTATCCTTCATAAAATCAATAATGTCTTGTTTTTTGTGCCTGTATTCGGAATTTTGTTTTTTTGTCGTGAATGGTATGGCGCATTGTCCATAATAATCACTGAATTTGGGGAAATGTTTGGTATTAACTGCTGCTCTATCCACTTTTCAAATAAGTTGGAGGTCAGGTCCTCATGATAGTCGGCACATGATTCTTTGATATTTTTGGCAGATAACAGCAAGGCATTAGGTATAAATCCATTTTCACTGCCAGCATGGAGAATAATGATTCGTTTTCCACGGTTGCATGGTGCATTTAAAATGCACTTGTTGCTGTCGTCAACCCAGCCGTACTGCACAACATCATGGGTATCATACCACGTTTCATCCAGGTAAATCAGATTTCTTTTCTGCTCTCTATAGATTTTAACTTTGTGCAAAAATTCTTGGCGCAATTCAACGATTCGAGACGACTCCATAATCACCATTCTTTTATCTAATTTTTTGTATTGAAAACCACACAGTTTTACAATACAGTGCAGTGAGTCTAAGCATTTGTAATTATAAAAATCTTCAGGATAATCTTTTAATTTATCCCGTATCATTTCCAACGTGGGCACCAAATTTTCTTTATAAAATCCGTATATTATACGACGAATATCTTCCTGAAAACCCACGTCTATTCTTTTTAATTTTTGCCCTATGCGCTTTCTGTGGAAGGAATGGTTGACTACATCTCCCCTTTTTATAACCCGATAAATGGTAGACCGACTGATTTTTGTCAGGATACAAATTCTGTTTAAAATTTGATTTTGCGAGGAATCTGGATTTTCGTTTTTCAGACAATCATACATATTTAGGATTACTCTTTGGGTCTGTCCTCTAAATCTTTATGAAAGAATTCTGCCTGCACAGGTTCATCAACCATCTCCTCGTGGCTTGGAGCATTTTCCCAAGGTCTCCAAAGAGCCATATTTAGGACACACAAGAACAATCAACACAACAATTAAATCAACAAGTAAACTGAGTATTCAAAAGTCAAAAACACACAAACTAATAAAATCTATGAAAAAACACGGACAGACTAAAGAAAACACGTTTATTCACCGCTACACGGCACTGGCTAAACTGTTTCAATTTTCAGTAGCCACCTGCACTTGTTTGGAGCTCTGAAATACACGCTTTCTCATTGGCTATGTCCACGCATAGGCGTGCTTTACTCCACGTGGACCGGTGAAACTGCCTTTCATCTTATACGGGGGATATTTGCTGCGAAATTTGGCGATTTTTGCAGCAACAGAGCGTGTTAAATATAGATATATAAAACGCACCCGGTATTTCACAGTGTTTCAAGTGACTTCAGATAAAGTATACCCTAATATGCGACATCCAAGGCTGGAAACATTTTCCACCACTACGAGAAAGTTTTGAATCAAGTGGAGCAGTGGAATATAGTAAAAAGTGTATAAATAATCCAAGTGTCACCGATGAGGCGAATCAGTTGGAGGTTCTATTAAAGTTGCAGGAAAATCCCCATTTAAGTGCACGGCAAATTGGAGCAGAAAACGATATATGCTAATCTTCTGTCCAAAGAATTATTCACAAGTCACCCACTTATGCTTGCAGTAAGGCGTTCGTCCGCAGAATTTCGCAGCTCGAATGGAGTTTAGTAGAATAATGCTAAATAAAGTGAGTGATGACACTACTTTCCTGGATAAGGTTCTTTTTAGCGATGAGGCAACTTTTAACAGCATATGTGTTGTCAACAGGCATAACATGCACTATTATGCGACGGAAAACCCTTACCGGATTAGGCAAATAGAGTTCCAAAATAAATTAGCTTGAATGTTTGGGGAGGAGTTATTGGCAGACAAGTTATCGGTTATCGGGCCTTTCTTTTTTTCGACAACAGATTAACAGGTACAGAATATCTGAATTTTGAAACCCGGATGCATATGTACTTCCGACATGACGGCGCACCTGCACATTATCATAATCGTGTGCGTAACTATTTGGGCACCTGGAGTAACAATCGTTGGATCGGTCGTGATGGGCCTATATCTTGGCCTCCTAGATCACCAGATATGACACCGATGGATTAAGGATGCTTTTCTGAACATAAGGGAACACATGCTGAGGGATGTGAAACGGTCATTTATTTAGGCTGAGTATTCAACATGGTGGACATATTTTCGAGCAGTTTTTGTAGATTAGGTCTAGGTCTTGAGTAGTGATAGTTGTTTGTTTATGTTGTTGTTATAGTTGTTTTTTCCTATTATGCTTGAAGCTGATTTATACTGTTTTGATTGTTATTCATGACTCTTAGTAGCAAGATGAAACTAGCGCATTGTTTGTATTTTGTTTCTATGGATGATGTGATTTTTTTATTAATTTTGATGCGTTGTTCTATTAGAGACTTAATAACTCAAAATCTAGTGATTTTATCTGAATCAAACCTTGTACAAAAAAAAGCTTATAAAAAATTGAATCCAAACTTGCACAAATATATAGGGTGATGCATTTGAAATTTTTGAGAAAAGCTACAATTCGCATTTTTGACCACCCTTGTATGAGCAAAAATGAAAATTTGAAATAGTAACAAATAAGATAAAAGCTGAGGTGTGTATGTTTTTTTGGATACAAAATTCAGCACTCCAAATTTCAAAATGGTTGATTGAGGGGTTGCCGAAGTGGATGGTTTTTCTGGACAAAAGACCTTACATCCCAGTAGCAACTTACCAAATCCCCATAGTATGTTATATCAATCTTCTTCTTTTGAATTGGTTTATCCAAACATGCATTAAAATTTAAGGCATTCCATTTTAAAAATCACAACTTTGATATGTAAGTCAAAATTGGGACACCCTGTATAATTGCCAATATTTTAGAAATTTGCCCTCAAATGTCATGTATAACATGCCATAAATAGATTTTCCCAAAATCTATTTGTTTATGAGTAATATTCCGTCCACACATGGATGGGCCACCCTGTATATAGCATCTGTTGGATGTTCCACTTTCATACGAAGTTAAAACCTTGTGATGTTCCAAGGTATACGCATTTCGAATGCTGTGTATTTTAGCTTTTGCAGCATTCATATTGAAATATTTTTTATTCTTGTTGTGAGACAAAACCTCAACAATTTTCTTTAGCGCTGTATCCCGTAGATTCCTATCTTTATATGACGGTATTTTAGTAGTTCCATAGGCACGGATGTTGTTCATAAACTTCTAAAAACGTTTTTACATCATCGGATGACCATTTTCTTGATGTTCTAACTTGTGACATTTTACCGAAGATCACAAAAAGGTTAAAAAACAACGCTGTCAAAACTCAAGCTGGCACCAAAAAGTACAACTACTTTGTACTTTACTGGCGCCAATTGATTTTAGTTGTTTCCATGTGGCTAAAAACTGGCGCCAGTCGACTGTTGCCAATAATCATTGCATATGGAAACTTCGCTTAAAGATACAAGTACAACATGACGACAGTTTGTGTGAAACTTATTGGAGTATTGTCAGAAAATGGATGAAAACAACGGAAATGGGGGTGTGATTCATATTTCCTTTTTTTTTATTCAATTAATAAATTAACAAAACAGGACAAATGAAATCTAAGGGTCAATGCAAAACAGCTGTCTAGCGGCGTGCAAATTTAGGCCCTAGCTCTAAAGCGGAGAGTAGGGGGGTTAAGAGCGCCAGTGACTTAGGACAGATTAAGCCACAAATCCCTAAAATGTTAGTCGGATTTTGTTTTGCTTGACCACCACACAAAAGAAAAGAATCTAACAGTAATGACGAAACCTAATTAATTGTATACAGAGAACCAAAAAAAAAACAGTGTAATATTAAAAAAGAATCAATATATATTATCTCAACAAACAGCACATATGCATGTTAAAAAAAGGATATTATTATTAAACTGCCGCACAATAAAATTATTAGATCGTGATAATCAACCCTGCGAAACGTTTACCATGGTACACGTACAAAGGCTTTACAAATATAGGCCTTGCAAATATTTTAACGCCTGAACCTAAACTTATCTGGGTTGAGGTCTTCTTCTAATCACAGCTCAAATCGCATCCAAGATGTCCTCAGTTCACAAATGATCAAGTCAAAAAAATGGTGGCCAGTAGTGGGCACGTCACAAGCTAGGGGCTGTTTGCCTTGTTCCCGAAATTTACGGTATAAAATAAACCCTAGAGAGAGAAATACTGCTTAAATATGTACTCTCTATTCTCTGTCTGAGACAAAACTACGCATTTAAACACTCGAACTAGAAGAAAAAAAAATGTACATTTTTTTACAAAAAAAGTATATCAAAGGCATAAAAGATAAAAATGTACTAAAGTGATATACCCCCAGAAAGTTAACCCTTGTTCTAAAGTTATGGCAACTCAAAAATCAAAATCATGATCAATGTATACAGGAAGCCCAAAAGAAGGTGACATGTAGGCGTTGCCCCATATTTAAATACGTAAAATGCCAAACAAAATCAAGAGCACTCTAAGCATTTCAGTCAGCAACAATCAATATATTAATACGAGGGATGTCTTTTAAGTTTTGCATATAGAAACATAGTAGGCCGTGCGGATCGAACGTCAGTACTGAATCTTAATCTCACTCTTTAGTAAACTTAAATTCAAAGTTTCACAACAATACGTGCAGTGCTCTCACTACAGTGAATTTTTAAGTGTCACCAAGTCATTAGAAAAATGGAACTCAACCGAGAACATTTTCGCGCCATAATTTATTGCAACTTTCAGAGACAATTATCGCAACAAGAATGCCTTGTTGAGTTACTGTCTGTTTTCGGCAATCGACATTCAAACGTGGACGGTTGAGTCTTAGTGACGATCCCAGGGTGGGTGCACAAAAAAACGGCAGTCACCCAGAAAAACGTCGATGCTGTGCGCAAACTCATCATTGAAGATAGACATGTGACATATCGCGAGATTGTGGCGTCCTTGAAGATCTCAAAGACCCCAATTCAAAAAATTTTACATGAAGAATTAGGAGTAAGAAAATTAGTTTCTCGTTGGATACCCCACCTGTTGTCTGAAGAGCAGAAAGCAGTCAGGGTTAATTGGTGTCAAAAAATGCTTGACCGTTTCAATTCCGGAAACTCAAAAAATGTGTACAGCATTGTTAGTGGTGATGAATCGTGGATTTACTGTTATGAACCAGAAAATAAACGACAGTCGGCTGTTTGGGTGTTCCAAGGTGAAGAAAAGCCAACAAAAGTCATTCGTTCTCGAAGTGTGTCGAAAAAGATGGTCGCGACATTTGTGTAAAAAGCGGGTCATATTGCAACAATTCCTCTTAATGAGCAAATAACTGTTACTGCGGATTGGTATACCACCATTTGTTTGCCAAAAGTCATCACCGAGCTTCGAAAAATCAACCCCGAAAGAAGAATCATCCTCCACCAAGACAACGCAAGCTCGCACACATCCCAAAAAACAAGGCAGTATTTAACGGAAGAAAACGTGGAATTATTGGACCATCCTCCATATAGTCCCGATCTAAGTCCTAACGATTTCTTTACTTTCCCGAAAATTAAAAACAGACTGCGTGGTCAAAGGTTCCAGTCACCAGAAGAAGCAGTTGACGCATTCAAAAATGCCGTTTTGGATCTGCCAGCAAACGAGTGGAATAAGTGCTTCGAAAATTGGTTCGAGCGCATGCAGATCTATATTAATCTTCGTGGAGAATACTTCGAAAAACAATAAAGTCATTTAAAACTACCTACCGTGTTGTTTTGTTTCCATATGCTAAACTTAAAAGACATCCCTCGTATCTATTAAATACCCAGTTAAAATGATATTTTGATTATTCACATCAGGGTTTTTTTGTCAAGGAGAAAATCGGATGTAATACAGCTACAAGGCAGCTACAAAACAAAGCTGGAGGAGTGTGAATGGTGGTTCTCCACAATGCCTTCCCACTAAAAGGAACCAGGTATTGAACAAACATCTTCAGGACATGCATTAATGCTCGTGGTCCGATGGTAATACAAAAAAAGAATTTACCGCTGAAGGTTAAAATTCAATAAGTAGTGATGTCAATATTGTAACTACCCGGTATTAAATATCCGGTACTCGGCCAAGTAGTCGGTACCTGGGTATTCGGTAAAAAAAAGTATCCGTCACTTTTGTACCTATTATGTATTTATTAATTTAGGTTTGCAGTTGCCGTCGATCACATCGATATTGACATTGGTAAACGATATCGGTACTGGGTATCGATATTTAGTAGCGCTGTAGAATGTGGGAAAGAAATGATTGCGTACGCACTACGCACTACGCATACGCAGATAAGCAGGATCGGGCGGATGGGAGCAGGCGGTGTTGTCGTTTGTCGTGCTGCTACTTAATATGTGCGGAACTCAAAATGTTATTTATGAGAACCTCTATGAAAACAGATAAATAATTAAAATATAGACCATATATATAAGAGAAAAATATATATATATATATATATATATTTATATTATTATAAAAAACAGAAAAATAAGTTTACAAAATCTAATTGAAAAAGTAAATAACTAGTCTAAACATCTAAACACTTCACTTATTTATTAGTAGTTGATTGTAATTAAGGAACATAAGTTTTTCTACATGTTTCGATTTCAATCGATTACGCCTTTCTGTTATCAACTGACCAGCTTTCGAAAAGACGCGTTCACTGGGAACAGATGTTGCTACCATACTCAAGTATTTTTTTGCCAATGGGGCAAGGGTGGGATAGAGTAGTTCCCTGGACTTCCACCACAACAATGGGTTTTCTGTTCTAGGTATATTTGGTTCTTCCAAATATATTCGTATTTCTGCTATTGCAGTAGCCAGTGGACTTGGCTTTTCAATGGTGGACGTCGATAAATCAAATTCATGCCAAACTAAATTATTTAAGCTTTGATCATCTTCGGAACTTTGTATAATAGTAACATCTAAATCACTATCTATGGCTGCAACACTTTCATTTTTTCTTATAATTGCTACTGTTTCATCCTGTAACTTGTCCTTTGCTTTTTTATATGCTTGCTCAAGTAAAAATGCCTTTATTTTAAATCGCGGGTCTAAAATCGATGGTTTTGCCTAAATACTATTATATTCGCATTTATCAAAACGAGTCAAACACGACGCTAATAAATTCTCAATTAGTCGTTTGGTAATATCGAAAGAAATTTCGCTTTGAAACCTTTTTAAAATCGCGATCAAGCCTCGGACAATGATAATAATTTTGGAAACTGTTACGTGTGTTTCTGAGCTCATTTCAGTTGTTATTTGTTCAAATGGTTTTAGCACTTGACAAATTTCTTTTAAAATGCTCCACTCTTCTTCGGACAATAATTGTACGGGATTGTGTAGTAATCCAATGGTTATAGTAAGAGATTCTTCTAACTTTAAAAACCGCTCAAACATATAATATGAAGAGTTGTTTTTTAATTTTAAAGGAATGCTGTTTGCATCCATCCTAGTTTGTGTTGATAATAATTTTGAATTTGCCTGCGAACTTCTGTGGAAGTATTCTACAACTGCCTTAACTTTATGGCATATATCTTTAATTTCTTGAAGGCCATTTTGCACTACTAAATTTAATGTATGAGCAAAACAAGGTATATGTGCCCAACTTCCCAATTTTACTGCAGCCACTTGATTAGCAGCGTTATCTGTTACTATAGCAACCACTTTTTCTGATATTCCCCACTCTGTTAAAATGTTCATAAGTTGTTCATAAAGATTTTGAGCTGTATGTCGTTCGGAATAATTGAAACAGCTCAACAAACCCGACACAAATTCCCAGTTTTTTGTTATAAAATGGACCGTTACAATATATAATTTTCATTTGCGGAAGATGTCCAACCGTCAGTTGTCACAGTAATGAATTCTGCTTGTTCTAAAATAAGCTTCAAAGTTGTTTTTGCACGTGCATATATCTAAGAGTGTTGTTACAAAAGTGTTTCGACTTGGAGGGTTATAACTAGGTTCAAGTCCTTTTAGGAGTTCTAAAAAACCTTTATCCCTAACGATGGAAAATGGCTGCATGTCTTTGACGATCATGTTTAAAACAAGCTCATTTATTACACTGACTTACATCTGATTTTGTTAATATGCTGTCGCTATTATTTGCCTTTGGTTCTGATGACGTGGACGGGGCTGTATCATACGCTAAAAATAAAAAAATGGGTGTTGAGCATATATAGTGGATACCAAACAAAATCCGATGCACGTCATTAGTGATGCAATTCATAAAAAGCATGGTCCCCAACAATTTACTACATTCAAAGTGAAATTTCTACTTGAATTTTAAATTTCCTGTTCTCGATTCGGTTGGTGCTCCATTCAGAGAAATGTGAAGTTGCCGTGTCTTATTTTTTGACATCAGTTGTCATTGTCCTTTTGTCGAACTAGTTCTTTATTGTTTAATTTGTGAGTTTTGCGCTATTTAAGCTTTGAATCGTTGCCTTGCAACTAAAAATTGTTCTTTTCAGAACAACATTTAGTGTGAAGTAGTGGAAAGTATACAAATGCCAAATTTATTTCATTAAATGATTCATTTGCTTAAAAGAAAATGTGCAAAGTCTGGCAACAATGCACAGCTCAAGACTGATGATGTGCATCGGTTTTTGTTTGGAATCCACTATAAATAACGTACACGTACACCTAGACGATAAGTGTGAAAAATCGGTAGGTACATATTTATTAGATTCATCTTTATCAATAGTGACGGGTCAATACGGATTTATTTTTGCGAATACCAATAAATCAGTCTAGATAAAAAAATCTATTCAAAATACGTGAATATAAGTAAAAATTGTCGATAATGGCAACTGTGTAAAGCATATTTAAATCAATTATTAACATTCATACTCAACATCAAATTATAAAAATATAAAATTTTATTTGATTTTTAATCTTCAGTTTAAAGAATAGTTTTTATTTCATTTTTAGCTAACTATTTTTTGTTTAGTTTGGTTAAAAACGTCTTGTTTTATTAACCAACATGCTCTTGCCTTATTTATCTTGATGTTAACCTACACCTAATATTAAAATTTCCGGAAGATACCTGTATTGGCTGATCATTATATATAGTTTTGGTCTTACCTTGCTTTTCCTCTTTTTGTATAGCTGTTTCTTCATCGATTACAATTGTAGGATGTTTAATTCGTAAATGTTTCCTTAAATTACCGGTGTTGTACCTCCTTTAAACGAATAAACGTTTCGGCATATATTGCATTTAGCTTTTTGTCCACTTATTATTTCGGTAAAATGCAACCAAATCGCACTCTTTTTTTGTGTAGGAGCCATAATATTTTAAAATATTGTTTTCACTATAACATTCATTAATATTGAAGTCAGCTGAGAAGCGATCACTTTTTTTCAATCAGTATACTAAATTCGTTTACTCTGCAATAACCCCAATTAGATTTAAAATTCAGCGAATTTTTAATTGCGACGCACGATTCGAGCGATGTCTGCTATCTCACTGTCTGGGTTCCCCCGGTTATCCGGTACCAGTGTTTTTATTTTACCGATACTGGCTTGCAACGTTACAATGACCTAAATCGAATCTTACCTAGAATACCGGTACCGGGTACAAAGTAACGGGTACTTTTTATAGTATTACTCGGTACCGGTAATACAGAGATGTACCTATATTTGACAACTCTATCAATAAGAAAATGGACGGGGTAGCACCCGAACCAAAACAACTAAACGTAAAGTACAAAATAAAAGGTTACTACTCCATAATCTGGTGTTTGGGGCGTAATATCCCAATATCTGGAAATTAAACGGATGACACACGCACAACCAAAAGCCTCAGCAGAAAGCAAAAGAAAATGGCGCTGCCCCGTCTGTACACGTAAGTTTTTAAAAGAAAGTATCTTGATAGGAAACCAAATATTCCTATTCAGGTTAGTACGTACAGAAATCACAGGGTGGGGCTGAATGCTCTCTACGAGTGACCAACGATATTTTATGAGGACATTTCTGAGATAGTCGTTAGTAATGCTGAAACATTAGTGCCCAAAAGATTTCAACACAATACTGAGTCGCTGAGAAAGAAAGATATAATACGTGTGAAATTATACAATCAATAAACTATGAAATTTGCCAAAAGAAAATCATTAAAAAGGGTTTGACCTAGGAATCGGCACTCTACCATTAATAAGGAGAATTTCAAATTACTAGTAAGTGATCAAAATAGGAAAAAAAAGGTTACGTGATTCGTGCACGTGACGCCAATTCATGTGCGTTAGTTCAAGAACGAGTAGCAGCTGCGTTCAGGATCGGGTAGTACATGGTACAGGTAATCTGTTTACTTATTTCTTACTATTGTGACGTAACCGCCAAAAACCGTGAAAATAACTATAAATGAGTTAGTTATTTTCTATGAACACCATCATTTATGGGGCTCCCATTGGTTGGCGTGCCATGTGCTATCAAAATTTCGTTGAAATATACAGTACCGTTCAAAAGATATTTAATAGGTACCGACTTACAATATCGTACTGGAGCACCTGTACCTTGGTTGGGAAGGCCCATATGACTTAAAGCGACATTTTGTGCGAGATAAAAAAACATTATTCTGGGATACCGTGTTGGAAATCAGCTGTATGTATCGAAATATGGTATTAATAATTTTAAATTGTATACTTTGGGTTTGCATAGCTCAATAAATGCAAAAATGTGTGGATTCTGGATGCCATTTTCATATGTCATCTTTTCTGATTTGAGTTTGAGAATAAAAAAAATCACAAAAAGCAAGAAAGATTGATATTTAATTACTAAAAATAGAAAATATTTATGTCCTTAGGTTTTTGTGTGTTCGCAGGTACTTTTTGAAAAATAAACATGTTCTATTAATATCAAGTCTACTGTTGCTAACTTTGTTATTCATTGTTTACATAGTTAGTTATTTTCCACGGATGTGAACACAAATGCGGTTAAAGCAAATTCCAGTTTGCTAGCTACCTTCCTTTCAAGTAACAATGACGCTCCTCAACCAACACTGTGACTGATATGCTAAGTACATGATTGTGCGATGAACAGGCAGTCTATTTCTTGAATCGTATCTGTGTCATTGGACCTCCGCGCCGTAGAGACAACAATGAATCCGTACAAACTAAATATGTATTACTGCATGATTGAGCCACAGATTGAGCCCAATGTTGTTTCAAGCGTTCTTTGTGTCATAATAATATATTTATTTTCCTAATGGGTGATAGATTGATTGATAGAATAATTGGTAATACATGTCACCAAAGCAACTGTAATATATTTACAGGGAACTGTATCCTCTATTGTGTACATACCCCCGTTCATAACGGAGAAAGACCAACCAAAAATGAATAATAATAATAATGACTTTATTTAAATACAAACAACCAAGAGAGACATAAGCATCGAAGTTTAGTCAAGGCTACTCTTACACTTAACTATTTACGTCGGTTACATTAGATGTTCGAAACATAAAGGAGAAAAAAATAATGTTATGAAGAAAAAAAATATACATCTATGTGAGCATTGAAATGGTCACAGTCTACATCCTCATAGCAGAATTTGTTAGCCTATGCTATGGCGAGCAGCGAGCTTTTGACTTGCTCACGAAAACGGACATTGATTTTAAGCTATTTTCCAAAAGATTATAGAATAATACTGCATTACGAGATGAAAAACCACGTTGGAACAAAGCAGACTTGTGAGGGGGCGATTCTGATACTATAGCAATTTCTGGTTTCGTCAACTGATCCAGACACGGGTACTAAACGACATTACAGCAGCTGAGTATTGCCATCACCGATTCACAGCGTTTCTTTCTCAGCTTGAAGTTGAGCAAGCATCGAATAGAACGTTGATGTTGCCTAGCTATGGACAGAGCTGATCTGATCCGCTGTAAATGACTATCAGAGGCGTTATTGTAGAAAAAAAAAACACATAGATGTAGTTTCAATCTGTGTTCACACATATTCTTGAAGATAAGCATTCCCGTCGGTTGTGCGAGTCAAATGCAATTTTCCTCTTCCTTTCGTATTCCATAGCGCGTGTGCCTTGTTGGCGCTGGCGTCATGTCACACATCAAGTATTCATTACTTCATTAGTATTCATAAGGCCATAGTGATTTGTTTTCGTGTGTTGCAGGGCGTGCAAATCAAGGAGGCAGACGTCGGACAGCCTTGTATAGAATGCGATAAGTGCGAGGAAGGCTATGAACCGCACGATTGGAGGTACGTTTCATTTGTTATTTGGTTTTGTTATCTGTTGTAGTGCTGTAGTAATCTGGAGGAATATATTGACATATTTAATGTGGTGATATGTATCGCAACCTGGATGAATATTCGTTTCCTTTGTGAACTACCCACGTGTATCGACTTTCACTTAATTTGGCTTTTGGAATTTGTTTCCATGGACTCTTGCTATAATTGAGAAGCTCTCGTGCAAAACCGGATATACCCAGATTTTTCAAAAATTTGGTGGTATCTGGATCTAAGTCATGATAACATCAGCCTCATATATTGATGTGCAACCAGAACCCTAGGAATCTCATGGAAATACAGTACAGTTCCATTTTTGGAACACATTCGCGTCCAAATGTTGCGAGCAAAAGCGGATATATCCAAATAAAGAAGTTTGTGCGTATTCTGTTGCAGTTTTTAGTTTTTGGGTAATCGTGTATCAGAAAATAATAAGCAATCCCAAATTATTCAAGGAATGGGTATTTTTGGGAAGATTGACGAACCAGAGAAGATCTCCTGTACAAAAATTCATAAATGATTAAGTTCAGTGCAATTTAAATCCTGTGAGAAAAAAGTCAGTTACGAACAAGTACAATAGAGAAATTAAACAGACTAAGTCAAACAGAACAATACAATTAGTCCATAGACATTCTTTCCTCGACCTACCGATAGTTACTGTCTATCCGGCAACGTTTTTCCTTTCCACATCTTCACGATAGCGCCCAGCATGCCATCGCTGCTACGAATTATAGTTCATTTCGTACATGGTAAGAGTATTTTTTGCGCTATAGTACGAACAGATTAATCATCCGTGCTGATTCGCCGGGCGGTGAATAGTAAGAGTACGCGGATCGAAAACATCGAGAACATACCTGTCATTTTGTTTTAAAGACAAATGTATGGAGAAATCTATGGTGTGAAATATAGGTAATAGGTGCATAGAATTACCGGGGTTGGAAGCGTATGAATACTACGATCAAAACTTTTTTATATACCCTCCCTACAAACCCCAACTCCCGAATTTCAAATTCCACAAAAGTGTTTCTGAAAATGATAAGATCATCTAAACTAAAGAGTTAAACACGGAGTTTGTGCGAGTTTTCGTTTTTGGATTTTTTTGACGGGCCACAAACGTGAGATAAACTGTTAACCGAACTCGCCTCTCAATAGGGCCATTGTTTCGTGTGCGGTGTGGCATGTGGCACCGTCTTGTTGAAACCACATGTCAGCCAAGTCCAGCTTTTCCATTTTGGGCAAAAAAAAGTTTGTTATCATCGCACGGTAGCGCTCGCCATTCACAGTTACGTTCCGGCCATTGTCGTCTTTGAAGAAGTACGGCCCGATGATGCCACCGGCAGTGCTTCTGGCTGGTCTTCACTCCAGATGCGGCAATTTTGCTTGTTAACGTACCCATTCAACCAGAAATGAGCTTCGTCGCTGAACACAATTTTTCGATAAAAATGTGGATCTTCCTCCAACTTTGCCAGCGCCCATTCACCAATAATGTAAACTGGGAGGGTTCGAAATTTAGTAACAAGCTTCCGAATAGCTCCCTCAGTAGGCCGACCAAATTGCCCATAAATTGGAAGCAGTGCTCGATGCACTCTCTTAACCGAGCATGCATTTTGATAGTAAAATTCAATCATTTGCAAGCGTTGTTCGTTCGTAAGTCGAGTCATGGTTAGATTATAGACCAAAGTGAACAAGTTTGACAATGACACAAGACACGATACACGCGTCATCTGTCAAAAACAGTGTTGCCAAAAAGATACTAGCAAAAAAATCACCCATTATTATCAAAATCTGAGCGGGACTTCTATAGTTATACACGGACTAAGGATTGGCGGACAGACAGATAGGTATACCATGAGTAACATGATTTTCCGTGATGTATATGTAAAAAAACACAATATTTCATTTTAGAAATTTTTGCGATTACCTTCAAGATTTTCTCGTCCAGTGGCTTATGGAGTAAAAATATATGTCAATCAGTCCTTCAACTCAATCAAATTAAAAATGTTTAATCAGAATGACACTATTATAACAATCTTTCTTAATGTGGGCATACCCGGATTTGTAATCCGTTATGATAATTTTGCTAATGTAACATCTGAAACCTATCCTGTGGTTTTCATGCTGATAGAACTCCATGATCTTTGGCCAAATAAAACCACATAGAAGTTACTTTTTTACGATTCGGCCACCACCGTGCTTTTTTCAGTGTGTGTACACATTCTGATAGAAGATAAGAGTATCATATATATGGAATCATGGCAGCATTTAAAATAATTTTAAGGTCGAAATTCAGTTTAAATTAGGCCTCGTTTCCTGGATAAAAGGTTTGCTACTATAAACACGTCAGAATATTTTACATAGCGAACCCATATATTGCAGTTATTAGAACTCGTTTCCTGGCTTCTTCTCGGACAAATCCTGTGTGTTCTTCCGGAATTAAACATCAATTTGATTCTAGGATAGAGGAGCCCACCCATTTTTAGTTCTTTTGCCTACTGGCGAGGAAGTATTGTAATCGGGATTTTTCTTTTCAGAATTGAACTACTTTCACTGCTGATGTCACGCTTGCGTGACATTAAGTTTTTTGCTAGTTGCTGATGACACACTTGCCTGACATCTGACCGTTTTTTTTTATAAATTTAAATGTTTTTTTACTGAGTATTAATAAAATTGTCTTGATATAACCTTTCCAATAGAAAAAAAATCATAATGACAGATATGCTAAATATAGGCTTCAGTTCACTACTTATACGAGTACAATTATAAAGCCTGAAAAATTTAACTTTTAGAAAAAACATTGCCGCATCTGGGTTACTCTGCATCAGTGCCGGATGCTCCGATGTTCGATTTTCGTCCGCCGGCGCGCATGACGTCACGCTGAGAGTGATTATCATTTGGGTTGATATGGATAACGTGCATATTTTCACCTACAGACAAAACGGCTGGACGGATTCTCACATATGAAGTGTCATTGGATTGCATGTGTCCAACGTTCGCCACATGGCACGTTCGGGCTCTTGTCGGTAAATTTGACCCGCGTCAAATAACTTTACAACGTTGGAAGCATGGTTCGTTACGCTCCCACACGAGATGTCATGTTTTTGATGGTTTTAGGTTAGAACCAGTAGCGGCGAAAAATATTATTTACTTGTTTCCTGTGATTATGGTGAAGTAGTGTTATGTGGGAAGTATTTTAATTTGAATACCTACCTATACATAATAATATATGTTCCGTAACTAACTTTTGAGGAGAATGAATTAAATTAGTATACATACAAAGCATAGGCTATCATAACACTTTTTTCATATTGCTAATATTTTGTACGTTTCGCAGTTGACTTATGGCTGGCCTAAGGATATGTATTTTAGTAAATTATAAATTCAAGTGCTTACAGTTGTTTCATTATAATGTCCTGTTGCAATACAAGACTAGTTGAGAAACATATTGACTTTCATTTCATAACTAACGATGAAATAAATGATAACTTTGGAAGTACTATCAGGGTTCTGATGAAATTTTAACTAATGAAAATGACGAAAAAGCTCTGCAGTTTTTGAAAATCGGTACAGTAGCGGCGTTGAAAGCCGAACAAAAAAAGGTCAGGTTATCGACATTCTGAGGCTTCTGACTAAAGTTTTGGTCGCTGAAGACAGATCTGAAATTATTTTTCAGCGCTCGAACAAATTGTTTCATTGTTGTTTACAACTTTGGAAGTATCGTGTGGGACCCGCATTAGCGGTACGAGTGATACTGGCTACATTAAAATTTTATACAAAACAAAATGGTGGATTTGAATAAAAGATTTCAACCTTGTAATTCCTACTTCACAGGCTATAGATCAAACGGCTTTGTAGTTCCACAATAGAGCCTATCGTCACATTACCGTAAAACCAAGATAACTCCATTTTTCTGCATTAGCTATATGTTAGTATGTTCTGTGGAGCAGGCATATCATGCTCATGACGTTAATACAGTACTACATTTATTCTTATTTCACTGAACATCCTACGTACATGTATGTGTGAAAATGTACGCAACTCTAAAAATAGAAAAATGGAGTTCTCATTTTTGTAGCAAGTTGGCGGTATAGCAGTAAATGGAAATGACTAAGGCTCATATCGTCAGTCGTCCCTACAATTGTAGGGCGCGTTTATGGCCTCCTTTATTGTCATACTCTTTTCTCTCCTTCAAAAATTTCTAGATTACATTGGTCCCGTGTCATCGTCAGCGCTCTCCTATTGTTAAGATATGTTTTCCTTTTAAATTGTAGGAAATTTCAGGCTGATAAAACATGATATAACTCAAAAGCAAGCACAATTTGATGCAAATAGATGTTTGTGACATAACCTCAAAATAGAGCTCTGACACGAAGAAGTAGAAAACTATGACAATCAAGGAGGCCATAAACGCGTGCTACAATAATTGTAGGGACGACTGACGATACGGGTCTAAGTCTAGGCGACAATTTTTCTCCATTTCCTTTTACGATTATTCTGGTCTTTCAAACTTTTATTCAGTTCTTTGATCCGGAAGAACATCCTTGACCTGAAAAATAGTTTTTTAGCTTTTTGAGATCAATCAATGTTTCTGCTCTTCAACAGAAGTTCGCCTATAAAATTTTGCTTTTCTGTCACTATTCCGCCCCCATTGAATGTAGTAAACACCTTGTTCAGCTTCTTAATTTGATTCATGAAAGCTGTGGAACGTTTTGATAATCCACCCTCAATAAGATGGTCTATGGCCACATTTTCCAGCCCGTCATACTGGAGCTCATCTATTTCTTCCACTAAAACTTCGTCGTTATAGTCAGCTGATACTGCAGGTGCATTCAGTTTATTCGTTAATGACGCGGTTAAAGGAATGTCTGGAGTATCCTCTGACTCTACGCTGCAATACTCAGAGTACGAGTATGCGCCTTCGTTTCGCCACAAAATACTAGGCGCGCCATCTATTACTTTTTTTTGGCTATTAGTTTAGGTGTTACCATGTGAGTCAAAAGTCATGTGGTATGCATAAATGAACTGTCAAAGGTATGCCATTTATAGTCATGGATTCGTTTACAACAGAACAACTCATTCATCAAACTTATTACGAAAACGGTCGAAATATAAAAAATACTTTTTGCAAACTTCGCACTAGTTTTGGCCGACATGGGCGCCATACAGAGCCTGGAATTCGTTGGATTGTTAATCGTTTTGAGGAAACGGGTTCAGCTGAAGGTCCAGCTCGAACTCGTGAAAACATAGCCGCAGTGAGTGAAAGTGTGCGAGAAGATCCAGTCACCTGGACTAGGCACGGTTCGCAACAATTGGGAATTAGTGAGACCACTTTACGCCGGATTATACACATTGATTTACACCTCCATCCATACAAAATCCAACTAACTTATATAAATCTCCGCAACAGATATAAAATTCCTGGGCTATCAAGATACAACCACATACAACTCGAGTGCAGCTGTTCGTGATATTCTGGTTGCATAATCTCCGGGCACGGCTGTTATTCCATTACGTAGTACAGAAGTCCATAGGCTAATAAAAATACCCGTAATTTTTATGAGCTAATAAATCTATCGATATCAAAAGAAAAGCTTTTCATTCAACGTCATAAAATTCATGTCTGTTTCAGTTTATTGTAACTTAATAAACGAAAATAGCAATGAATTAATACAGATTTTTGTTTCTGTATCTCGTCTATCGAATATGCAGACTAGGAGAAAATAAAATACCTACTGCAAATTTCAAATTTTTGTGCTCTCTTGAGTTCCAAATAAAATTTACTACATCAAACAATTATAAGAATTCTCATAATGTAATACATGAGCATTGTCCTCTCATTGCGTGGTGATAAGACGTCAAAATACTGAATGTAGGTGGAGTATGGATTTTGGTTGACCAAGGCATTTTTTATACTTGAACCACCACGAAGGCCTAGAGCCTAAACACACACGGGTACCGTGGGGCTATAGGGGGATACAAGAAGAAGGGGAACGCCACACGGACTCTAGCGAAGGAACACACGTGTGAGTGCACATTCTGGATCTGCCTTAGAGATCCGCCAGGTGGTACCTCCACGTTCAACAGTGCGAGACCGTCTACCACCTGCGGATAACTACAACGTCCATAGCCAAGAGAAAAATTCTCTTGGGACCAGATTCGAACCGGAGCAGCGTACGGCGACTGATTAGGAGACCCATAACGTCAACCATTACGCCACCGCTGCTGGCCTAAACGTAAGGTTATGATGATAGTAGAGAACACAATTTGCGCTTGTCATGAGAAGAGTGCGTGTGACTCTTCGCGTTAAAGCTAGACGATACTTAAAACCTAGTTTCCTACATTTTTGTTGTTCGGAAGGTTTAATTTCGTTAGTCAGAGTGGGGTGGGTGCTCCACTCTAGATCCGCGCTTAGCTGAGAGGGGATGTTTTCTCTATATATCTGGATAAACGTCGAGTTCCAAATTAATCTTCTTGGTTATAAACTACAGATTTACGAGACCTGAAAATTTATACTTCGTCATCTCTATGATTTAGAGGTGAGCTTCAGCAGCAACGGTGCGCGGTGGGATAATTTCACGTCTTGGAGTGACTAATTTTCAAGGTATTATCTCGATTGTTTAAGGGATGTAAACGTTCTACGAGAATCGCGTTTTTTATGTACTGAAATATAAGACAGAAAACAAGTAAGAGCAAGTAATATGTTATGATTTAGTAAATAAATGATCTATTAGGTCGTCCGTTATGTTATGAAAATGAGAAAAACAATGTCCTTGTCCCTCTTATCGCTGCCAAGGAAATCGAAAAATAATGTTTGGTATTTTGTAATGCACGTCGAATGTGGTTCCAATTATTCATAGGGTAATTAAAAGTTGCCGTATGTAAGTTTTTTCTGGGTTTGTTTCCAACTAAGTGAACTCTGCTATGTATGTCACGCCATTTTATTTCCTGATTGGAAATGATTGGGTAGGTTATCCGGAAAATTCTATTTGACTAGTCGATCAGTATCCGATAAAATAATGAAATGACATTGATCTAAACCTAAACAACCCTTTGTCATTCTGTAGCATCCATGAAGAGCCTAACTATCGAGGCACCGTGATGGCAGAAGCCATTTCAATCAGATTGTTCAACAACCTCGACACACTAGATACAAATGAGCGGTCATACCGGTAGAGGCCTACAGAGCTAGAATAAGAGGCGGAAGGTTAGGGCCGTATCATCAGTCGTTCCTACAATTTATTGTAGGACGTCTTTATGGCCTCCTTGATTTTCATTGTTTTGTACTGTTCCGTGTTAGTGCTCTATTTTGAGGTTATGCTACAAATAACTATTTACATCAAATTGTTAAGGCTTTGATTTATATTAGTTTCCTACTATTAAAAAAAACATAGCCTCAGAAGAGTGCGCTGACGCTGACAAGAAACAGTAGAAATCTAAAAATACCACACCCTTTCTGAAGGAGAGAAAATACTATGAAAATTAACGGGGCTATAAAGGCGTTCTACAATTGCAGGAACGACTGACGATACGACCTTTAGAGCACGGTGATACCATAGGAGAGAGCTCCTAGGGCAGAACTGTAGGAGTTCAATTGTTAGAATCTTCGATTCGTTTTGGAGACGGATTGAACATGAGGAAACTCCCATTCCACCTGCAGCCGAGTAGTGAATTTTAAGACAC